ATATATATATATATATATATATATACATACATATATACACACACACACACACACAGTGCCTTACGAATAGATTCGGCCCCCTTGAACTTTTCAACCGTTTGCCACATTTAAGGCTTCAATCAAAGATATAAAATTTTAATATTGTTGTGAAGAATCAAATATAAGTGGGACAGAATCTTGAAGTGGAATGAAATTTATTGGATGTGTCAAACTTTTGGAACAAATAAAAAACTGAAAAGTGGGGCGTGCAATAGGGCAAGACAGTGGCGCAACTGGTAGAGCTGCTGCCTCTCAGCGAGCAGGTCCTTGGTTCAAACCCCGGTCCAGGGGCCTTTCTGGGTGGAGTTTGCATGTTCTCTCCGTGCATGCGTGGGTTTTCTCCGGGTGCTCCGGTTTCCTCCCACAGACCAAAAACATGCATGTTAGGCTGATTGGTAACTCTAAAATTGTTCCTAGGTGCGAGTGAGAGAGTGAATGGTTGTTTGTCTCGTTTGTCTCTATGTGGCCCTGTGATGGACTTGTGACCCGTCCAGGGTGTACCCCGCCCCTTGCACAGTGATTGCTGGACATGGGCACCGACGACCCCCCTGACCCAAAATGGAAGAAGTGGGTAAAGATAATGGATGGATGGATGGATGGATGGATGGGGCATGCAATATTATTCGGCCCCCTTGCGTTAATACTTTGTAGCGCCGCCTTTTGCTGCAGTTCCAGCTGCAAGTCTCTTGGGGTTTGTCTCCATCAGTTTTGCACATGGAGACACTGAAATTCTTGCCCAGTCTTCTTGCAAAACAGCTGGAGCTCAGTGAGGTTGGATGGAGAGCGTTTGTGAACAGCAGTCTTCAGCTCTTTCCACAGATTCTCGATTGGATTCAGGTCTGGACTTTTACTTGGCCGTTCCAACACCTGGATATGTTTATTTGTGAACCATTCCATTGTAGATTTGGCTTTATGTTTTGGATCATTGTCTTGTTGGAAGATAAATCTCCGTTCCAATCTCAGGTCTCTTGCAGACTCAAACAGGTTTTCTTCCAGAATGGTCCTGTATTTGGCCCCATCCATCTTCCCATCAATTCTGGCCATCTTCCCTGTCCCTGCTGACGAAAAGCAGGCCCAAACCATGATGTTGCCACCGCCATGTTTGACAGTGGGGATGGTGTGTTCAGTGTGATGAGCTGTGTTGCTTTTACACCAAACATATCGTTTTGCATTGTGGCCAAACAGTTCGATTTTGGTTTCATCTGACCAGAGCACCTTCTTCCACATGTTTGGTGTGTCTCCCAGGTGCTTGTGGCAAACTTTAAACAACACTTTTTATGGATATCTTTGAGAAATGGCTTTCTTCTAGCCACTCTTCCATAAAGGCCAGATTTGTGCAGTGTACGACTGATTGTTGTCCTATGGACAGACTCTCCCACCTCAGCTGTAGATCTCTGCAGTTCATCCAGAGTGATCATGGACCTCTTGGCTGCATCTCTGATCAGTCTTCTCCTTGTTCGAGATGAAAGTTTAGAGGGACGGCCGGGTCTTGGTAGATTTGCAGTGGTCTGATACTCCTTCCATTTCAATATGATTGCTTGCACAGTGCTCCTTGAGATGTTTAAAGCTTGGGAAATCTTTTTGTATCCAAATCTGGCTTTAAACTTCTCCACAACAGTATCTCGGGCCTGCCTGCTGTGTTCCTTGGTCTTCATGATGCTCTCTGCGCTTTGAACAGAACCCTGAGACTATCACAGAGCAGGTGCATTTATACAGAGACTTGATTACACACAAGTGGATTCTATTTATCATCATCAGTCATTTGGGACAACATTGGATCATTCATCGATCCTAACTGAACTTCTGGAGTGAGTTTGCTGCACTGAAAGTAAAGGGGCCGAATAATATTGCATGCCCCACTTTTCAGTTTTTTATTTGTTTTAATAAGTTTGACACATCCAATAAATTTCATTCCACTTCAAGATTGTGTCCCACTTGTTGCTGATTCTTCATAAATTTTTTTATATCTTTATGTTTGAAGCCTGAAATGTGGCAAAAGGTTGAAAAGTTCAAGGGGGCTAAATACTTTCGCAAGGCACTGTGTATTTACACACACAGACACACACACACATACATACAATATATGCATACTAAAATAAACTACCGTATTTTTTTGGCCTACAAATGGTATATGAACTGTACTTATATAGCGCTTTTCTATCTGATCAAGATACTCAAACCGCTTTACACAACAATCTGTATCCTCATTTATCCATTCATACAGTACTATTTCTGCACAAAGAATAATCAGTGCTTTTTATCACTGTCATACACCAATGGGACACACATCGGAGGCAATGAGGGGTTCAGTGTCTTGCCCAGGGACACTTCGGAATGTGACTGCTGGTGGAATCGAACTCCCAACTCTCGCATTGGAGGATGACTGCTCTAACCACTCAGCCACAGCCGCCCTATAAGTCGCGTTTTGTTGCATAATTTGCATGCCCTGCGACTTATATGCCGAAGTGACGTATTTATGATTTTTTTCCCTCATATTTATAAACTAAATTTTTGGCTGAGATATGACCGTTTTCATTCATTCCGACTGAAAATGTTGAGCACTACCAATTTCAGCCGCTAGATGGCAATCGAGTAGTATGGCATGCTGTTGTGTCATGTAACAGGTAAAAGAGACTATTAATGACACAATCAGCTTGCCAGAGCCTGCCACCTTTGTTCTGCTTGCTTGGGAGCAACCATCAAATCAGCTTCATTTCGCTTCACCTCCCCAGTGAAAATGCAGCTAATTTGACCATTGAAGTGCATTTATTAAGAAAAAGTTCAACTGAGACACACCTTTTCTGTAATGTCGAGCAAACAAATAATTGTTTTAGGTGCTTATCTTGTTAAATTTCGAAGAAATGTGCAGTGTTCCTTCTTCCTGATTTCCTCCCTGTCTGCGCACTCCTGGAGCACCGAGGCAGCGAATACTTTTGAAATGCAGCTGATTTGACCATTAAAGTCCTCAATAAAGTAAAACTTCAACTGAGACACACCTTTACTATAAAACTGAGCAAACAAATAATTGTTTTAGGTGTTTATCTTGTTAAATTCTTGTTAAAGTCCTCCCGTGCATGCTCCCGCTGCCGCCATTTGGCAGCCAATCGATTTTTGGCACAACAGCGGCCCACATTTTCGGGTGGTCAGCGGTGACGCATAATAGATGCGACGTGTACGGCCACTTTATTAGACACATATGGACTGGTGCGACTTATAGGGCGGTGCAAACTAAGTGTACGGCAGAAAATACAGTACTTACTACTTGTACTACTACCCCTACTTCGTAGTTTTTCACTTATCGCCGTGGGGCTTGAGGGTACGGATCCCCACGATAAATGAGGGACTACTGTACTTGTATAAGGTCAAATAAAATATAAAATAAAGTGTGTGTGTGTGTGTACCATCTATATTGTTTTCCTTCAGTTTATGAGTGAGAAGGGGCCAGAAGTAATGAGGCCTTATAGGAAAGTTCTGCTCCTTTAGTACCTCCATCAGCTCAAAAGATATACCTGCAAAAAATAAATAAAACATTTAGTTATTCAGCAAAATGACAGAATTATTTTATTAAACAAACAAAAAAAAATAGCTCTAATAATAGTGTGTTACCAGTTTTATTGGCCTCCAGAGCGGCGGACAGAGTGAAGGTGAGTGGTGATTTGTGCAAATTCAACTCCAGAAGCTCATTGCAGTAGCGGACAATCTTCGTCAGAGGCTGTGGTTCAAAAAATTATATCGGATCATCAAAAAGAAAACTCAACATTTCCTGTCAGAAAGTTGGGATGTATGCCACCTTCTAAAAATCATTTCGAATAAACTTTGGAAATAATTTTGTGATCTTATCTAAAGACTTCTTTGACAAAACAAGATGAGCATTTTTTTTTATGTACCGTGCCAGCGTTGATGCAGTGTTTGAGGAAGAAGTTTCCCGTGTTTTGGGGGGAGTCGTTTGAATTTGGAGTGGGGAAAAGCTTAAGGATAATAAAAGCTACATCTTCCTGTCCTTGGGTGATGAGGTTCAGACACAAGTTCATGGCATCTAGAAAGACAACAAAAGGCATTATCTGAGCATGAATATATGTTTGCTGACTGATATCAGTCTTGTTGCTGAGCGCACAGCAACTGTTGTGGAAAAATATAATATATATATGCATGTGTGTATACAAGTACTTGGAATAAAACCCCTTTCATGCCTCAGCCGTTCTATCATCTCTGGTATGTGCTGCTGCTGTCCGGCCTTGGCCAGAGTGCAAATGACCTCCATGATGTCCCGATCCATCAGAATGCAGTCTTCGCGCTCTGCTTCCTCTAGAGTCTGAAAAGGTCGGAGGATAAAATGAAGCACAGGAGTAATTCAAAGGTCATCCATTCACTGAATACAAACAGAAAACGCAGACGTTCTGACGACGCTAACCTTTTTCATATTGTTCAGATCGCCCTTCTCAGCATACGCATTCAGCAGCGACAAATACGTCTCAATACTTGGTTCAATTCCAGCTCCCCGCATCACAGGCAGAATATGTTCAGCACTTTCAATGTTGCTAAACAGTGACAGAGAAATAACATTTTATTCCCACTGTTCTACTATCAATGCATTAATAGTATTAAATGTTAGATTAAAAGATTGAGAGCTGTGACACTCACCCTGCACGGGCATGACCCGTCACCAGAGCGCTGAAAACAGCTTCAGTGATGGGTAAATCTTTGCTTTTCATATAACCCAGGATGGTGCTGTGAGTACATGGAGAAAAACATTTAAAATAAAAAAGAATACATTAATCACAAGGCATATACAAATAAATGAACCAATCAAACTAAACAGTAACAATTTAAACTGAGAAATTGCATTTCCTGCGCAAATGCAGTGTGAATGCTTATTGCAGAATAACTTGTAGAAAAACAGCTGAAATTAGCTTAAAAAAATGCTGAAATGTACAAACTGAATTCCAAAAAAGTTGGGACACTAAACAAATTGTGAATAAAAACTGAATGCAATGATGTGGAGGTGCCAACATCTAATATTTTATTCAGAATAGAACAAAAATCACAGATCAAAAGTTTAAACTGAGAGAATGTATCATTTTAAGGGAAAAATCTGTTGTTTCCAAATTTCATGGTGTCAACAAATCCCCCAAAAATTGGGACAAGTCCATTTTTACCACTGTGTGGCATCCCCCCATTCTTCTTACAACACTCAACAGACGTCTGGGGACAGAGGAGACCAGTTTCTCAAGTTTAGAAATAGGAATGCTCTCCCATTCATGTCTAATACAGGCCTCTAACTGTTCAATCGTCTTGGGCCTTCTTTGTCGCACCTTTCTCTTTATGATGCGCCAAATGTTCTCTATAGGTGAAAGATCTGGACTGCAGGCTGGCCATTTCAGTACCCGGATCCTTCTCCTACGTAGCCATGATGTTGTGATTGCTGCAGAATGTGGTCTGGCATTATCGTGTTGAAAAATGCAGGGTCTTCCCTGAAAGAGATGACGTCTAGATGGGAGCATATGTTGTTCTAGAACCTGAACATAGTTCTCTGCATTAATGGTGCCTTTCCAGACATGCAAGCTGCCCATGCCACAAGCGCTCATGCAACCCCATACCATCAGTGATGCAGGCTTCTGAACGGAGCATTGATAACAACTTGGGCTATCCTTGTCCTCTCTGGTCCGGATGACATGGCATCCCAGTGTTCCATAAAGAACTTCAAATCGTGACTCATCTGACCACAGAACAGTCGTCCATTTTGCCACACTCCATTTTAAATGACCCCTGGCCCAGTGCAAACGTCTGACCTTGTGGAGCTTGCTTAGAAATGGCTTCCTCTTTGCACTGTAGAGTTTCAGCTGGCAACGGCGGATGGGACGGTGGATTGTGTTCACTGACAATGCTTTCTGGAAGTATTCCTGAGCCCATTCTGTTATTTCCTTGACAGTGGCATTCCTGTTTGAGGTGCAGTGACGTTTAAGGGCCCAGAGATCATGAGCATCCAGTAGAGTTTTACGGGCTTGACCCTTACGTACAGTGATTGTTCCAGATTCTCTGAATCTTTTGATGATGTTATGCACGGTTGATGATGATAACTTAAAAGTCTTTGCTATTTTACGCTGGGTAACACCATTCTAGTATTGCTGCACTATCTTTCTGCACAACAATGGTGGAATTGGTGATCCTCTTACCATCTAGGCTTCTGAGAGACACTGACACTCTGAGAAGCTCTTTTTATACCCAATCATGTTGTCAATTGACCTAATTAGTGTTAATTGGTCTTCCAGCTATTCATTATATGCTCAATTTCCTTTTTCCAGCCACTTATTGCTACTTGTCCCAACTTTTTTGGGATTTGTTGACAAGGTGAACTTTTGAATCAACATATTTTTCCTTTAAAATGTTACATTTACTCAGATTAAACTTTTGATCTGTCATCTATGTTATAATACAAATAAAATATTGACATTTGCCATCTCCCCATTATTGCATTCAGTTTTTATTCACAATTTGTTTAGTGTGCCAACTTTTTTGGAATCCGGTTTGTAGCTGAAATGGAAGAACAAGCCTAAGTTAGCAGAAGAAAGCAAAAAGAACACATATTTGCTAAATTAGGTTTGAATAAGCAGAAATGAGAACAAAAATTAGGAAATGCAATTCAAATTCAAATATACTTTATTAATCCCAGAGGGAAATAAAATGTCATCATCCTGGTTTCATTAAAGAGTTGTTATAGTTGCTGATGGCTTAAAATAAGCTTTAAAAAAAATCTAAAAAATAAGCTTAAAAAGGCTGAAATTAGCAACAACAATAAAATAGCTGAAAGTAGCTGAAAAGGCAGCAAGAAGCTTAACTACTAGAAGAAAGCGGAAAGAAATTAAATGAGCTCATAAAATGTGGAACTGGCTGAAAAAAGCTCAAATTAACATAAAAGCAACTAAATAGTAGCTGAAAGAGTACATAAAACTGAAGCTAGCAGAAAAATCTGAAAGGTGCACAACAAGCTGAAATTAGCATAAAAAAGTTAGAAGCACAAAAATGTTGTAGTTAGCAGAAATAATCTAAAAGGATCACAAAACAGCTGAAAAAAATAGCTAACACTAGCTGGAAAAAAAATGAAAATAAACTTAAAATTTGCACAAAAAAGCTGAAAGAAGCTCAACCAGAACAAAATGTAAAAGGAGCAGTAAAAGGTTGTAAACAGATCTAAAGATTTAAAGGATGGAAAATGAGCTCAGTTCATTTTCTATGAGAAAAAAGTGGCAGAAAAGGCTAAAATGTTTCAAAAAGCCAAAGTTGCACCAATACCAAAAGTCATAGCATCCTTCTCCTGAACGAGCTGAACGTTTCGATATATGATTTGTTGAAATAGCACAAAAATTGTGGAACGAAAAAGATGTTGAAAAACGTAAGGAAGAAAAATGGATCACAATAGTGTGAATACTTCATAAACATTCACACCATTACCACCTTAAAGAATGACATTAGATTTATGTGAAGCACATTTATTGGCATCATTAGAATTCATTATCAGAGTCAGAGTTTCTTTATTGTCATTCGCACCTCATGTGGTATATGTGGTGGAGCGAAATTATGTACACAGGGTCCCAGTTACATCCAACAATAAAATGTATAAGAAAAACAGTAATAACATCTAAGATATGAACTAAGAAAAACATCAACTAAATATACACTGTATATGTATGTATATGTATATGTATGTACACTGTATATGTATCATGAATTATGATGTAGTACTAGAGAAATGATTTATAACCTAACAAAATGGCTAGGTTGATAATGTCCTAAGAAACAGAACACTACAGTAGGATCTCAAGCGTTAATGCAGTTCTTCAGTTATTCACATATTCTTATTATGTGAGGACTGACCATGCGAAACCACCCAACTTACCAAAAAAATACCAAAAAACTATTTGAACTTTCACAAAAATACTACTGTTAATTTTTGAAGAAAAAGAAACAAGCCATCTACATTTTATGAATAGCATTTATTTATTTTTCAACACCACAACGTACTATGAATAACAATAAAGCTAAGATGGATAAAACAGAAAGTGGACTCACCTGGCTCCTTCAATATCTCCATTTTGACAGTAAGCATCTATCAATCTCTGGTAGGTTACCTGCGCATGAAACATTACAAAATTATTTAGAGATGAAAACAACAATACTGAATTACCAGATTGCTATAGAGAATTAGAAAATAAATGTTTAATTTGGCGAATATTAAAAAAAATATTCCACTTGCTTAATTATTTACAAAAAGCCGAGTACAAAGACAAAACTTTTCAAAACATATGTACATTTTATTCTTGGAGTTTTCGTCCTTAATGGGACCAAACAAACAGTCACGTAAATATGTTTTTTGTTTGCCACTGCTGCACCCTGCACCGTAGTACTCACTCTGTTGGGTTGGATGTTTGCTGCTTCCATTTTGGCCATGAAGTCAGTGGGGGAGAACTTGAAGTCATTCTGCAGGTAAACCTTCAGCAAGGCGTTGTAGTGACTAACATCATACTGTGCACCTGGGGAAAACAATGTTCAGTCAGTGTGATGTACAAAAAAAACAAAAAACATTCTAAATGAACAAAATGGTTACAAAAAAAGGCAGCACGGTGGCGCAACTGGTAGAGCTGCTGCCTCTCAGCGAGCAGGTCCTTGGTTCAAACCCCGGTCCAGGGGCCTTTCTGGGTGGAGTTTGCATGTTCTCTCCGTGCATGCGTGGGTTTTCTCCAGGTACTCCGGTTTCCTCCCACAGACCAAAAACATGCATGTTAGGCTGATTGGTAACTCTAAATTGTCCCTAGGTGTGAGTGAGAGAGTGAATGGTTGTTTGTCTCGTTTGGCTCTATGTGTTGGACTTGCGACCCGTCCAGGGTGTACCCCGCCCCTCGCACAGTGATTGCTGGACATGGGCACCGGCGACCCCCGTGACCCAAAATGGAATAAGCGGGTAAAGATAATGGATGGATGGTTACAAAAAAAAGTATAAATTCTGGAAGGTGGTGCATGCAGCTTCTAATTCCATCCACAAAGAATCTATTAGGTGTAACTCTCCGACGAGTTTAAGGCCCAAAAGTGAAACCAACAATTCCTCAAACACAACTGCAACAAAGAAAATACACAGCTTACTGACTGATTAAAACATAAGTTGCCTCGAGAGATGAAAAATTCTGAATGGACTTTCAAAAATCGATGTTGTTAACATTAATTTGTGCTAATACTTTAAAGCGTTTGTCCTTGAAGAGTTGCCACAGCTGCTGCATTTGCAACATTCTGCTTTGTGTTTTCACATCTTTTTCTTTTTTTACTGAACCCTGGAGAATATCTCTGTAATAGTCAAAGTTATCATAACATGACTGAATTTTTTTGTTATTTATTATTTCTGGGTCAAACTCAATACTATTGTTGCTTTTCCACTGCAGTTTTGTAGCAAATCGACGTTTATTCCAGTTGTAAGTCAGCAGGCTGTAATAAGTAGGGAGTTTTGACAATATGTTATTTTACACTCTTATCTGCATTAGAAGTACAGTAGTCCCTCATTTATCGCGGGGGATCCATACCCTGAAGATCCGTGATAAGTAAAAAACCACGAAGTAGGAACAGTGGTACAAGCAGTAGTAGTTTATATAGTAGTAGTATATATATATATATATATATATATATATATATATATAACCCTGGTCAGTCTGTAGTCCTGGTACTCCTTGACCTTACTGCTGCATTTGATACTGTGAACCACAGTATCCTTTTATCCCGGCTAGAACACTGGGTTGGGATTACTGGTGCAGCGTTAGAATGGTTCCATTCATACCTGAGCAACAGGAGTTTCTGTGTTATATTTGCCAACACTATCTACATCAGTGCCTCTTTCCTGCGGGGTCCCGCAAGGCTCCATTATTGGACCCCTTCTGTTTTCTTTGTATCTACTCCCCTTAGGGTCTATCCTGAGGAAACATGGTCTTTCCTTTCATTGTTATGCTGATGACTAAGATTTATCTGCTGTTAACACCTAACAGTTCCTCCTCCATTCGCCCTTTGTTAAAATGTCTTGATGACATCAAGACTTGGATGGCTGCAAACTTTTTGAGTTTTAATGATCAGAAGACTTAGGTCATTCTGTTTAACCCTAGCTCTGCCACTGTCACTGATCCTGCAAACCTGGACTCCCTTCAGCCATATCTAAAACAGTCCGTTACCAATCTCGGGATAGTTTTAGACTCGGACTTTAAGTTTAATAAGCAGATAAATTCTGTTCTTCAAAAAAGCTTCTTTCAGCTAAGGCAGTTAGCTAAGCTCAAGTCTGTCCTGTCCAAATCCGACCTTGAAAAATTAGTCCATGCATTTATTACAACCCGGCTGGACTACTGTAATTCGCTTTATGCTGGGGTCAGTCAGGTCTCTCTCTCTCGCGTCTCCAGCTTGTCCAAAATGCTGCAGCTCGGCTACTAACAGGAACTCGCAGGTTTGAGCACATTACTCCAGTTCTGTCCTCTCTTCACTGGCTTCCTGTGCGTGTCAGAGTTGATTTTAAGATTCTTCTGCTGACATTTAAGTGTGTTAATGGCCTTGCACCCTCATACCTCTCCAACCTCCTTCATCCTTATACTCCTTCTCGGGCCTTGAGATCATCAGACCAGCTGCTTTTGGCCGTACCAAACACCAGGCTGAAGCTCAGAGGAGATAGGGCGTTTTCAGTCATGGGCCCTAAACTCTGGAATAATCTGCCCATCAACATTCGACAGGCCACCTCAGTCTCTATTTTTAAATCTCTCCTCAAAACACATCTGTACTCATTGGCATTTAACACAGTGTGATCTCATTTGGTATTTCGTTGTTGATGATTGTGTTCATCCATTTTGCTTTTACTCCCTGACATTTAACGCAGGGTGATTTGATTGAGTATTTCATTGTTTCTCATTATATTTCATGTTTTTATGCTTTTATTCATGTTGCTGTATATGTTGTTATTAATATTTGATGCTGTGACATTTTTGGTAAGCACTTTGATAACAGTTACCGTTTTAAATGTGCTATATAAATAAATGTGACTTGACTATATATATATATATATATATATATATATATATATATATATATATATAAATATAGATATATATATATATATATATATTATATTAAATATATATATATATATATATATATATATATATATATATATATATATATGCACAGTATGTCATGATTTCAGATTTGAACCAGGGTAACCACCTTGCTAAGAGGCAGCAGCTCTACCAGTTGCGCCACCGTGCTGCCTAAAATAATTTGAAATAAAAATTCCATGCCATTCGCGTGGCTCATCCATCAATCAGCCAATTGTGTATCATGTCCAATCTCATTTTGAAAAACCACGATAGAGCGAATCCATGAAAAACGAACCGCAAAGTAGCGAGGGACTACTGTATATAATTTAAGCTTATCAGCTGCCTCCTTGTATTTATTCACAAAACTAATAACCACAAATAATCAAACCGCATCGAAAATTGTTTTATAAGTCAAAGTTTATTTGTCATGCGCACCACATGTGGCACATATGGGGGAACGAAATTGTGTACACAGGTCCTAGAAGTACAAAACATTGCATTAATAAATATATATATATATATATAAAACTTATAAAAAAATTATAATAAACACTGCATGTCTTGGAACTATAATCATAAGGAATTATGAGGTGTCTAAAGATTCCTGCCACTAAGCTCCACAGGTAATACTGATTTCTTAAGTTGTCACTTTTCTTACTGATGTGAGCAGTTGTATCTGCATTAACCTTAACTGGAGGAACAAGCCTCTGCTTCCTCCTTCACATCCAAGCAAAACAGATTTTTTTTTTTTTTTTACTTTAAACCGTTCATATAAAAAAAGTTAAATCTGGTCATTCCAAAAAAAAAAAAAATAAAATTGTAGAAACGTTTCGTCTTTCATCCGAAAGACTTCCTCACTCTGAGGTGCTGTTTTCAGCTCAGTTTTATACCTCAGACTGAGGAAGTCTTTTGAATGAAAGACGAAACGTTTCTACAATTTTTTTTTTTTTTTTAATGTCCAGAGGACCAGATTTAACTTTTTTAGATTTTTCTACCTGGATTATTGAGCATGCATCAGGATATTTAAACAGTTCAGTTCCCAACGCTGGTACAATATTTGAAATGTGAAATAACATCATGTTCTTACTGACAAAATCCTTTGTTAATCTTCATTACTGGTGAAAACAAGACAATTCTTACAATTTGAGTGTTGTGTTTGTTTTTACTAGTGTTGTTTCTTACCCAGCTCCTGCAGTTTATCCCAAATCCGGTTGGCCAGCTCATTCCTTTGCTCCTGCGGGACTTCAGGTAGCAGGGACCCACAACTACGCAGCAGCAACAAGGCCTGGTTCCCACTGGGATAACCTTCATGTAGACAGGGAGTCCAGATAATTATTAACAGAGAAAGAAAAAAAAAAAAGCCAAAAACTTTACTATTTGGTGCCCTCGTGAATTAAAAACATCAAATTTAGTATGAGATTCAGACTGCCAGCTCAGAGTTAAACCCACCTCTTCATCTTTAAAATGTATGTAGAATGATAATGATATTTTTATGTACATGTGGCCAAAGTCAATTTTGCCAAACTAATTCTTGTGATCATTTGGACTTTGGCAGCAACCGGACAAACATATCACCAGTTACGTGCATAATCTGTCCACCTCTTCAGAAGACATTAATCCTAAAATCTGTGTCATTAATCCTAAAATCTGTGTCCCTGTTTCGCCTACCTGTCCTGCATATATCATGGAAGATGTGGAGCAGCAAGGTCTTGGTGATGCGACCCGACCTCCTCACAGAGTTATCCAGTTTATTCAGGGCCCAGTCAAACTGCTGTGCCTGCTTGTACTTCAGTGCAGAGCTGGTTTCATCCTTTTGTTCTGAGGCCACAACATAGCTACGAACACATCCAGCTGCATGCGGCCACACATATCTGTAGAGAACAGGTGGAAGATTTGAAAATCTCTGCAATTTTCTTTAGCATATACAAACAAAAGATCCACCCTATTTGAAAAAAGATCATTCTACCCCACATTGAATCGAAGACAATATTCCAACTGCTGCTTCATTATTTTACACTTTAGGATTCATGTAAATAATTATGGACAGGGGATATTTTTAAAATAGCTTGTTAATGAGCAAATATGATAATTAAATAACATTTTATGTCATTTTTTAAATTTGTAATAGCTGTCAGCTCAGGATTTGTGATTTTTCAACATTTTTTGTATGTGTATCATCTATGATTAAAAAATAACCACTAAATATGCATCATTCACTACCAAAAGTCTGCAGCCTAATTTATATTAAATTAGCAAAATCAGCAGAGTCATGTTTTGTTGCCAACAATTACAAGTTGTTTATTTTATTATTTTTTTATTTAACCGTTATTTATACAGGTGCAATAGTCTCATTGAGTCACGAGGACTCATTTTCAAGAGAGACCTGTTTTAGACAAACATATAGAGTACAATACGCAACAATGTACAACAATAAAAGCAGTTAAAAACCACAGTGTTAAAAAAACAGTAACAATAATAAAATTTACATTTTAACATTGACTTGTATACTTCAGACAGTCTGGGCACATGGTGGATAATTGAGTCGAAAAAATAATCCAGTGGTGTAGTCTATGTGATATGTGGGTACACGGACTATGGCGCATGCCCATTAGAAAAGCTCAGGAATTTCAGTATACCCACTTAAAAGTGCCCGATGATATGTGACATAGCATTGGACATGTGTCATTGTCAACAGATTTGGAACGTTTTATAGACACATTGAGTATGTTCAACCTGTTTTTTGTACAATTAATACTTCTGTACTTACTACTTAATACTTGAACATGTTTTGCACCGGTACGGTTTTATAAATTCTGTAACATGTTTTTAATACAACGTACGGATCCACTTTTTTTTTTTACTTCTGATCCGATACCAATATTTGATGTTTAGTCTCGCCCGATACCGATCCGATGCAGAAAGACAGCGCTGAATTAATGTAGTGAACTAAGCTACAACAAAAATGGCTAAATCATTTAATCTGGACCCGTTTCTGAAACAGGTCCAGATGACATGATTTAGCCCTTTTTGTTGTCTACCTGGATGTTTGAGCTTACAAACCCAGCGCTGAATTAAATTAAAACATTCGTTTTGTTAAACGCAGACATGAATGTACTGAATTACAAATTTATTGAAAATGCACCATAACAGCATACTTAAACACACCAAGAGCTTCACAAGCTTGGTCTAACATGTTAAAACAACACAATTTGTTCAGTAAGTTCGCTAGCGCACGACGTCACTCAGAGCACAAAGCATAGAATTAGAGTGAATAGATCTGCCCAGTCATGGATCGGTCACATTGTCACGATACCCGATCCAGAAGGTTTTTTTCCAATATCGGTACCGATACTGATATTGATATCGGCTCAGTGCATCTCTAAAACTGTTGTAGAAAGTTTGTTGTACATTTATTCAAATATAAGCATCAGTGACATTTTGAAACGTTTAATATGCTTAAAAATCAAATTAAATTCACGATTACCGGTGTACTTCGGATTCTAAGCACAGTATACCTAGGTCTGTCGCGATAAACAATAAATCGCACGATAAATGAAAATTATTTACCTCATTTTCATTAATCGGCTTTATCATTTCTTCGTGTCTCTCTTTTTCTACTGAAGACACTGGATGACAAAAAGCTCAACTCTGGTGTTCTTCACTGACCCCTCCCTTTCTCTTTTCTCTTTAAAATCTGCTTTAACCATCCAAAATTGTGTTTTTGGATCGTTAAAAGCAGCTAAGCTGAGAAGCTAAGCTACGAGCTAAGCTAGCTGGCCGACCTCGGGAAAAGGGTTGGCCTGCTAGCTTAGCTCGTAGCTTAGCTTCTCAGCTTTACTGTCGAAGCTCCAAGATTCACGGTTGAAACCCATGCCTTTGTGTAAAAAGTTGTTTTTCTCTGCAAAACGAAGCTGAGAACTTGTTCACTGATTTTTTATTAAAAGCTTTATGTGAAAAATGCTATGCTAAAGAGCTCAAACCACACCGAGCATCCGCCATTTGAGAACCGAAAGAAGGAGAGCGCCCATGTCACGTCAAGGGACCTCCCTCCCATTTTTCTTAAAGAGTCACGCTGCTCCAACACATATTGAACATTATTATTGATATTGTTTATCTTATTTCTTTATATATTGTATTGTTTATTAACATTTAGGAACTTTTGTGTGAAATCTTTTTATCTGTTGCTGCTGTTACACTTGAATTTCCCATCCGTGGGACAAGAAAGGTTGACTTTTTTATAATTGTTTATTGTTGTTGCTGTTGTCCATTGTTGTCATCTTTCTTTGTTGAAATCAGGTCTCTCTTGTAAATGAGTCCTCGAGGCTCAATGGGATTTACCTGTCTAAATAAAGGTTGATTGATTGATTCTATTCTATTCTATGCTCGCTCCCTCACTATCCATTCTTCAGTTCAAACAGTTTTATACTGCCAGCCGGTGGTCAAAAAACAGTACTGCACTCAAAACAAATTAACCAACATTTCTTCTTAAATTTGACAATATTACTAATTATTGTCATTTTCAAACAATATTATAGTTAATTGCAATAATTTCTGATACAATTAATCGCCCAGTAAAATGTGTTATCGTGACAGGCCTAAGTATACCCACTATAAAAATGTAGACTACACCACTAAAATAATCCCAGATGTAAACAGAGAGAACAGTTGAACCATCAAACTAGTTGGCCCACTATGTGAGTGTTCTACTTATGGGACAGAGTTTGTTGTGGCTCCTTGGACTGATGGAAGCCTTTTGGATGAAAGATGAAACGTTTCACCACAACGAAACGGTCCAGAGGACCCGACTTAACTTTGTTGGATTTTTTTACCTGGTTTATTGAGCATGAACTTTGATCTGATGAGTTTGAGTTACATTAACCCCCAATCAATTACCAGTAATGACGTTTGAAGCATAAAAATTCAAACCAAAAATGTTGGGGGGGGGGGGGTATTTTAGCTATTATGGCATTAATGAAATAAATGTGTATAAAATATTGAAACAGCATGTTGTGATTCTATTAGAATAAGCACATAATCAGTTTCTGTAAAACATTTTTTCTACATGTATTATTAACCTCTAACCAGGCAAATCCTATTGAGATCACAGATCTCTTTTTTTACAAGAGGCCTGGACTTGAAGGGAGCCTAACATGCTGGTTTTTGAACTGTAGGGGGAAACCAGAGTACACGGTGTAATCTCATGCAAACACAAAGAGAACATGCAATTTCCACACAGAAAGACTTTAAGACCAATCTGGGAATTGAACCCAGAACCTTCTTAAGGTGATGTAACAGTGCTAACCACTAAGCCGTTGTGTTGTCCATAGTTTTAATGCAGCACACAAAGAACTTTTTACAGCACAAGTGTATTTTCCCAGGGCAGCACGGTGGCGCAACTGGTAGAGCTGCTGCCTCTCAGCGAGCAGGTCCTTGGTTCAAACCTCGGTCCAGGGGCCTTTCTGGGTGGAATTTGCATGTTCTCTCCGTGCATGCGTGGGTTTTCTCCAGGTGCTCCGGTTTCCTCACACAGACCAAAAACATGCATGTTAGGCTGACTGGTAACTCTAAATTGTCTCTAGGTGTGAGTGAGAGTGAATTGTTGTTTGTCTCGTTTGTCTCTATGTGGCCCTGTGATGGACTTGCAACCCGTCCAGGGTGTACCCCGCCCCTCGCACAGTGATTGCTGGACATGGGCGCCAGCGACCCCCCCCCCCCTTGACCCAAAATGGAATAAGCGGGTAAAGATAATGGATGGATGGATGTATTTTCCCAAGTGCTAAGAAATTTCTCAAATCATGTTTTCCTACAATTCGACCCTAGGAAAAGAAACCACGAGGCAAGTTGGTGACAAGTATTCTTAACTAATTTGTTATAATGCAGTACATAAGCATTATAGTTGAACTAGTTTGTCTGGCTACATGATGTCTTAAATGTCAGGCTGCTTATTAACCGCACTACTTCTTTGGCAGATGTGTGTCATTTGTACTGAGCGGTGACCTTGAAGGATCACAGTCCCATTGAAGTATCCTACAGTAGCCTGCTATACATTACACTAGCATTAACTGAGGCCAACGTTTATTTTGTGTTGCTAATAAAACAGCTACCGGTATTTTTATATTAAATTCATATTTAACAAATTGGCCAAACGTATGAATTGCAACGTTGACCAGTTAGTTTAAAGCTAAAGCTCATATGCTATAAATAAAACATTTTTGTGTAAACAAATGATGTAAAACACGGCTGTTATTATATCATAGTATATGTAATAAAATAGATATTAATTATGTGATGCGAGCTAAATCAGTTACAGACACTGTGTGCTAGTCAAAATGGCGCCTCTTTCTTTTTAAAGTCACTTAGTAGCTAGCTGTTTATAATAAAATTATTCTAATATATTTCAATGTTGGATTTTTAGAACTGCAGGTTACATTTAAGTGAATACACATGTACTTTTATGTTGCCATTGAACTTCAATGACATCCCTGCTTCACGCGTTGGGTCATAGCTAGCAGGTAGCTAGCACATGCAGTTACATACCGGGACACGCTATCAGAAGCATGGTTGATCTGTCGCAAGCAAATGCCTGTCCTTCTGCCACCGACAACACCGCTGTACAGCCGACCGAGGAGCGGCCCGCTTCTTTTGGTCCCTGGGATGTGAAGCAAACCCGAAGGTGAAAACTTAAGTAAACGGGCAGATCTCAAGAGCGCAGCCATGCTTTTTTTTGTCACAGCTTTGAAACTTCCGCACCACGTGACTACTTTTGGGGGTTCAGGTATCGCGAGATTATCCATTCATTCATTCATTTCGTCATCTCTTTCACATCAGGTTTAATTCATATTTAACAGTATAAAAACAGTGATGGGAATGGTCTCTGAATGAGAGGTGACCACTAATCTATAACAAATTAATAATTCACTTCCTAAAATGATTAAAAAAAAACAGGAATTGTCTGGTTAATTAAGTTTTAATTTACACATGTAAATATATATTTGCTTTGACTCATATGCTGCAAAGAAAAGCTTTGCAGTGGTGAAGGCTGCACAGAAGTGTTGGAGTCAGCCTCCCCACCATCACAATAATTTACACCTCTAGATGCAGGAAGAGGGACACCTGCATCATGAAGGACCGCACTCACCCAGCACACACATTTTGCCCCGCTCCCCTCAGGAACGTTAAGGAGCATTAAAGTGTAGAACCACTAGACTGAGGAACAGCTTCTACCCCGAGGCTGATAGACTCATGAATCTCTAACTAGGATAATCACTGTGAAAAAATTACATCACGTTGCTGTTGAACTGTTTCATGTTGATGTGTTCATGCGTGCTCATCTGCTCATGTCTGTGCTGCTGTTTGGCGTAATGTTTTTATGCTATTAGTGCTTAGTGTATATTTAGTTGATGTTTTTCTTAGTTCATATCTTAGATCTTATTACTGTTTTTCTTTTTACATTTTATTGTTGGATGTAACTGGGACCCTGTGCACATAATTTCATTCCACCACATGGGGTGTGAATGACAAAGAACCTTGAATCCTTGAATATGTGAAATTTTTTGCACCATTTACAAATATTGAACTTTTAGTTTTCTCAAAATACAACACAGCATACCAATTATTTTTATTTGTAGTAACACGTTTATTAAAATTTTTAAAATAATTCTTGAACAAGACACAAACATTAAAAGAAAACTGATGGAGCTTTAAAAATATAAAATTCATGACAGAACTTTTTGTGTAATTTAGTACACCATCAGCTTAAAGACACCAGCATATTTAGGATTTTTATAATCCAAGTTCTTCAATCAGTTTAGGATTGCCTTCTCCTTTCTCTTTCTTTAAACTTGCTTTAACTACAGTCTTGACTTTCTCCATGCTGTTCCTGGCCCTCTCTCTTTTGCTGTGTTCATCCCACAATTCAATAGCAAGACTACGAATCTGCTGTGTGTTATCCAACACCCAGGCTTGAAAGAATTCACACTTCTTGCTCGCCAGGAAGTACTTCCGCCTCATCGTCCCTTCACCTCCCTCTTTAGATAGGTTTGTTCTGGCCGTAGAAAGAGCACTGCGCAGTTGACTCAAAGCTGCCAAGCAGTATCCTGTAGCATCCTGCCTTTTTCTGCCGGTCATTATATGGGCCACAGCTTCCACTGCCCTGGCTGGAGCAAGAGGATCCTCTCTGTCGAGGTAACCTCTATGGCTAACGAGAGATTCTCCACAGTCTAAGGCTTCTTGAACCGAGTTAAACACCTTGTTTGAGTTCAGCGCCTCAGACAGAGCAAGTGTCATGTCACAGAACTCAAATATCAGTGAATCAGTGTCTCCATTAAACAGGTTCAAGGAAAATGCATAGCCATAAAGGGCATTGACCAAGCCATAGCAAACCAAAGAAGACGGATTTGAACATAAGGAACTCAATTTTGGAATTTTTGTAGAAATCGGATGTATTTTTTGCATAGATGAGCTCCCTTTACTCTTCATTTCCTTCCTGGTTCGTCCTTTAATCTTGTTTACTTTCACACCCGACTTGCCCTGGCTTTGGCCCTTTTCATGTGAAATCTTGACTTGATCATCATCCCCACTCATAACTGATGTATCTCCACTCTCCAGCTTGCTCACTTTTTCCTCGAGCACTTCCACAAGTGCTCTTTCATCCTCCTCATGCTCTTCCCACCAGGGCTTCCACAGGGGAACAAACTCTCCAAGAGCTCCACCTTTCATTAGATTCACAAACCTCTCTTGCTCTTTACTGCTGAGAAGTTCCCACAGTTCCTCCTCTGAAAGTTCATCAATATCCAGTCCTGACAATCGCTCGGCCAAGTCCAGCTCTCCTTCTGCACTTTCATCATCCTCGCCAGTGGCTCCAGGCAGCGACTCCCCTCCTCCAATCTCCTCAAGTTTCCTCAAAATAGCTTCAACCTCCGTTATGTTTTCATCTCCAGACTGTTGAAGCTCTGCTAATCTGGACAGGAGCTCCAAAGCTTCCACCTTCTGTGTTGCATCTCCTCCCCCATCATCTGTGTCATCTCCCACAACGCCTGCTTCTTTTAACAAACTCTCCATCCCCACGTGTGTCATTTCTGCTTTTTGCCTGAGTCCCAGCAGAATTTCTTGCATTTTCTTTCTGCCCTCTGTCTCTGTTTTCCCCATTTCCTTCAACTCCCGCAGAACAGACTCCTTGTAAAACTCCTCTGAGCACACAGAGTGATCTGGACTTTGGTAGCAAGCCAAACCACAGTAGTGAAGGTTGCACCGGGGACAGGTGTAGTTAGAGGGTTTGCATTTACACAGCATGCACACTGCTGCACTCTTCCTGCTAATAGTCCCATCCTCTGCAGTTTTCTCCTCTTCAGTCTTTGCCGGAGAAAGAAACTCCTCTTGTCCAGATCCGGCTCCTCTAGACGGCAACATAATCCCGTCCTTTGTGGTCTCCGTTTCTGTCCACTGCTCCTCTTTTGGACTAATATCTGTCAGAAGACACCTCACAGATGGAGGAAGGCTCCGTCTAATTAATGGATTCATCATTAGCGGGAGAACAGAACCGAAGCACGAAGCGGGGAGTCCGAAATATTAACCTAAAACAGCACACAAATTGATAAAAATAGGTTAGCAAAATGCGGTGTTGAAAACATAACGCGCTAAGTGCAGTGTTTATTTTCAGTTTTTACTTACAAAATTCGCTGAAAACTATCGTTACTGTTCCAAAAAGGTTAATATCCGTAAATTTTCCACATTTTACAAAAATGTTAAATATATATTTACTCACTCTTCATTTACGTGAACGCAAACGTTTGTTCCAAGACACCACGTCGCTTATAGATGACGTAGCCAAGGTTTCCGTGTTTTTTTCGGTGTGGAGCCAAGATAAGTATCCTCGACAAAAATGTGGCCTCGGGAGCGCGCACAAAGCACGAAACCCCGTTTTAAGTGACCGCGCATTTGTGTAAAACCAAATGAACCTCAAAATACTTGCCTGTTTTACATTTCTGTGTGGATGTTAATAGTTTGTTGTGTTGCCTGTTATTTTGTTGTTGAGCTTGTGGGTCACATGGTCACAACAGTGTGTCTTCATTTGTAGTAAACCAAACTAAACATTTTAAAACAGAGCAGTTTGTGTTCATATAACAAGTTTTTATTATTATTTATTTTGTAAATGTTACACGTAGTGCAAAGTTACATCTACTGGGCATGAAAATGCACCGTCCTGATTACATCACTCGTAACTTTATTTTTGTAAACCACATTTTTAATTGCACAATATAAAACATATCTTCAAAAGCCATAAATGAAAACAATATTTAGCATTGCATCTCTTGCATCTCTCCTTGAAACTATAAGCACAGACATGCATCAGGATATAAGCACAGACAAATAATCTGTTTATATTATATTCCAGTTAATTTAATTAAATACTTTATTAATCCCAAAGGGAAATTAAATGTTGTTACTCATCATCCTGGTTTCATTATGGCTGTGGTATAGGAAGGATCTCTTGTAACGGTCTGTCGTCTGAAGAAGCCTCTGACTGAAGACACTGTTGTTGTTTGACAATCAGATGAAGAGGGTGCTCAGGATTATCTATAATGTTCTTCATGTTATCAAGAATCCTTCTTTGTACAATCATCTCCAAAAGTTCTAGAGGAGTCCCCAGAACTGAGCCAGTGAAGGTTTCAGTCCAGAATCTGTGTCCTCCCTCGCACTAAAATGAGCAAAGAAACAATAACAGGTCCAGGTTAGAAAGACTCCTCATTGTGGATGATTCCTACGATTTTTTCAAGATGTTTGCTCTTTTCATTAAGAATTGAGGGGGACAAAGATTCTAGCAGGTGAGTCAACCAGTCAGAATCTGTCCACCTTTAACTTCATAATATAAAGGAGAAAACATTAAAAAAAATCAACTGTGATTTAAATTATTATTTCTGTAATACTTGTAATGTTGACAATATTGTATGCTGAAATAATTAAACTACGACAAGTTGAGAATCACGCATCAAAACTTTTTAATACAGGCAAACATTTTTTTATTTCAAACCCTTTCATCTTCTTAATTGTTGTCCAACACGTTATGATCTTTTTAAGAGCATCTAATGCAACTTTCTGCAAATCGGAGTGAGCTTGCGTGTCTTTTTGCATGTCCTTTTGAGTGTGCAGTGTTTGCATCTCCTGTAGGGCTGTTTGCTATGAGGTGATTGTCTCCTGTGGGGGGTAAAGCATGGTAAAGGTCACGCAGGTGGGGAGTTGTCAGATGGCTGTCCACCCCTCACTGGGCCGAGGGGCTCTTGTGGGGCCTGTCAGAGCCGGTGGGGAAAGAGGGAGGAGAGAGGGTGTCTGAGGACGACGTGTGCCATGCTGCCATGGCCCCGTCCATGGCAGACAGAACCCAGGGCAGCTGCCTTCTCTCATCTCCCTTCTCGTTCCCTGGCATGTTCTGTGACATGTTAACGCCACAACACAGGCTCCACAAGCTTCTTACTGACTACCAAGCAGAGTATCTCTGATAAAGTCTGGTAAATGTTGCAGTGATGTGCAATATAACTTTTCCCTCTGACATGGGTAAATTTGAATTTTTTTTGTTGTTGTCACTGTTGATTTTGTCAGTGAACTGTAAAACTAGAAAATATATAGGTAGGTCTAGGATTATCTTTTTAGGCATGAATATCACCTGCTGGCTTTCAGGCTGGAGTTTTGATCATGTTATGTTAAAATTTACAGAACAAACCTAGAAATAAAAAAAAATAACATTATGCAAACTCTTGTGCAATTTTGTGAGATGTTGGTTCAGAGTGTATGCCGCAAATGACACTCAGCTTTTTGCAAATTTTAGGTTAATATCTGCAAAATCTCTTTTAGGCTGTGATTGCAGCAGCACACTGGAAAACAACATGAACTGTTTGATGTAAAACAGCTGTGCAAGAATGAGACTAGTGTTTAAATTTACAACTATCACACTCAATGAGCCCTCTCCCAAAAAAAGGCCTAAATTTTAAAGCTGTCCTCACAAACACACATGTGTCAGTACACACGCAAATACGCTCATGTCCCACTGACTGCCACCAGCTGATTGGTGACAGGAAACAGGCTCTGCCTTTTGGGCATGTCCAACCCTGGTATGTCTGCAGCAGGAGATGTCTGCAGCACAACAGCAGGGTGTGCACGTGAGTGTGTGTGTGAGTGGGGTGGGGGTGTCTGCAGTGTTAACAAAATATCTGAAGAACCACAGGGCCAATTTTATCCAAACTTACTAAAGATCAAAATTTAAATTAATTAAATAATCATTTTATGCTCGTTTACAACTGATTAAGTTTTGGAGTCATCCAGATTCAAGATGGCGGCCACAATCAACTGACCTAAAAGCACTAAACAGCTCTAACTCAGTCAGTTTAGTTGATACTGGCCTAAAATTTGACACGGTGGTAGCTAAGAGTGATCTTCATCACATACAGGTGCTGGTCATAAAATTAGAATATCATGAAAAAAGTGATTTATTTCAGTAATTCCATTCAAAAAGTGAAACATGTGTATTATATTCATTCATTACACACAGACTGATATATTTCAAATGTACAGCACTCAGTACTTAGTTGGGGCTCCTTTGGCCTGGATTACCAAAACAATGCGGCGTGGCATAGAGTCGATCAGTCTGTGGCACTGCTCAGGTGTTATGAGAGCCAGGTTGCTCTGATAGTGGCCTTCAGCTCTTCTGAATTGTTGGATCTGGCATATCTTCCGCTTCACAATACCCCATAGATTTTTTAATGGGGTTAAGGTCAGGCGAATTTGCTGGCCAATTAAGAACAGGGATACCATGGGCCTTAAGGTACTGGTGGCATTGTGTGCAGGAGCCAAGTCCTGTTGGGAAATGAAATCTGCATCTCCATAAAGTTGGTCAGCAGCAGGAAGCATGAAATGCTCTAAAACTTCCTGGAAGATGGCTGCGTTGACCTTGGACCTTAGAAAACACAGTGGACCAACACCATCAGATGACAAGGCACCCCAAACCATCACTGACTGTGGAAACTGGACACTGGACCTCAAGAAACGTGGATTCTGTGCCTCTTCTCTTCCTCCAGACTCTGGGGCCTTGATTTCTAAAGGAAATGCAAAATTTATTTTCATCAGAGAACATAACTTTGGACCACTCAGCAGCAGACCAGTCCTTTTTGTCTTTAGCCCAGGTGGGAGGCTTCTGACACTGTTTCTTGTTCAAGAGTGGCTTGACACAGGGAATGCAACAGCTGAAACCCATGTCTTGTATACGTTTGTGCGTGGTGGTTCTTGAAGCACTGACTCCAGCTGCAGTCCACTCTTTGTGTATCTCCCTCACATTTTGGAATGGGTTTTGTTTCACCATCATGTCCAGGGTGCAGTTATCTCTATTGCTTGTGCACTTCTTTTACCACATATTTTCCTTTCCTTCTCCTTGCTATTAATGTGCTTGGACACAGAGCTCTGTGAACAGCCAGCCTCTTTAACAATGACTGTTTGTCTCTTGCCCTCCTTGTGCAAAGTGCCAATGGTCGTCTTTTGGACAACTGTCAAGTCATCAGTCTTCCCCATGATTGTGTAGCCTATAGAACTAGACTGATAAACCATTTAAAGGTCTTTGCAAGTGTTTTGAGTTAATTAGCTGATGAGAGTGTGGCACCAGGTGTCTTCAATATTGGACCTTTTCACAATATGTTAAATTTCTGAGATACTGAATTTGGGGTTTTCATTAGTTGTCAGTTATAATTATCAACATTAAAAGAAATAAACATTTGAAATATATCAGTCTGTGTGTAATGAATGAAAATAATATACAAGTTTCACTTTTTGAATGGAATTACTGAAATAAATCAAAATGTTCATGATATTCTAATTTTATGACCAGCACCTCTACTCTGAAAGCTAACAGGCTACAGACTAAAGTTTGCCAAGAACTATTTTGAGTCAACTCTGTCAGTTTGTCAGCTAAATATCTTGTGAACCACTGGATTTTAATTAAACTTTTAAGAAACGATAATTTGATGTATCTTTACAAAAATAAACTTTTGAAGTCAGTCCCATTTAAGATGACCACCACAGCCAGCTCACCCTGGAACACACACACACACACACGCACACACACACGCACGCACACACACACACACACACACACACACACACACACACACACACACAC